TTTATCTTCTTATACACTATCTTTCCAATATATCCATTGCGAAATAAATGTTGTCATTCTTATTCCCACTTGGGTTTGGATACCATTGGACAGTTGTCTACATTTCTGAAAGAATCAAGTAATTTTCATATAATCTATACACAGTTTTTATTCAAAGACAAAACAAGGGGACATATGATATAGTAAGAACCCACTGTAAAATTTATTACTGCCACCTATCAGTTTATAAACTTGTAATGATGACAGGAAATTAAATGAGCTACTAAATGTAAATGCTGTCCCATTTTGTTCTATCCTATTGTGTTTGAAGTATAAAAACAATCTTCAGGTACAGTATATGAAAGCAGGAAGAAAATATGATTTACTCGCAAGAATTTTCTGACTGTAGTTTGTTAAATAGGTGGAATATTACTTAATTCTCAATATAGATCTGAAAATGTTATACAGTAAAACCACTGTAGCTGACCACCCTCCTATATTGACCACTTCCTTAAGTTGACCTAATTTTCATAGATTGGACATGCACCAGATGAACATATTAGTACAAGAGGCTTAGTTCCTTATGTTGACCACCTCTGTATGTTGACGAGTTTGTTATAGTCCTTGAGTGGTCAATTTCAAAAGGGTCTACCGTATACACTTCTCTGACTTTGCTGTTTTTATTTGTATTTATTTCATTTATTGATTTTTCTTTTTTTTGAAACAGACCCTCACTTTCTTACCCCCAGTAGAGTGCTCTGGCATCACAGCTCAGAGCAACCTCAAACTCTTGAGCTTAAGCAATTTTCTTGCCTCAGCTTCTCAAGTAGCTGGGACTACAGGCGCCCGCCACACCACCTGGCTATTTTTTTTAAGAGACAAGTTCTCAGTCTTGTTCAGGCTGCTCTCAAACATGTGAGCTCAAGCCATCCATCTGCCTCTACCTCCCAGAGTGCTGGGATTCCAGGCATGAGCCACCTCACCCAGCCTGTGCCATTTTTAGATAGAACTGGAAGTAGCTGTTCTTTTCTTTCTTTTCTAATCATATTACACTAGATACTTATCTTGTCTCCCCTTATGTGACAAACTAATGACAGTAGTTAGAGGAAACACTATGAAAGTTATTAGATAAACGCCTATCAGGAAACTACTTAGTTAAGATCAAGAATGATATGATCTTTTATTTTTTCCATTTTATCTATATTGGGATATTCTTTTAGTAACCAAAGTGTCTTCTTCATGTTGATATACCCTTGGGTAAAATGAGACATTCTGGACACAGTGATTTATGGTTTTAAAGGTGGTTCAGGCTTGTTAAATTCTCAGATAATAGATGTCTGAATATGTTCGTGGACTTGGCTATACAAAACAGCTGGAATTTTACAATGGTCTTTTCAGGGTACCAGTTAAACTGGTTGTAGACCTGTTCATGTACAGTATGAAAGTGAGAACATTAAAAGGCAACCAAGTCTTTGTTTCTTTCAAAGATAGGAATTGTGCTAATAAACTAAAACTCCATTTTTCAAAGCTTTACAATAGTGGTTCTTAACTTGTGGGTTACCAAGCCCTTTGAAAATAAGATAGATAGATGCTGTGGAAACATAGGCAGAAATGCAAAACTACACCTGAAATTCCAGAGGGCTTATGACCCCTAGTTTAAAAGACTTCCACTTTAAAAGATGCTAAGTGCTAATGCATTCTATTGATTGTATTTAATATAATAGCAGAAATGTTAAATGTGCACCTCCATTAAACAAATTTTTAAATCCCAAATTGAATAAACTAGAAATCAAATTAAAATGTTTCTTTTACTGCTCAAAGTGGTTTTAGGTATGTAAGTTTCTGTGGCCTTTTTTCTACCTTTTAAACTTCTTAAATTCTAAATAATTTTACTTTTGAATGTTTTATGTATTCTTAACTTTTATCTCTACAGATATTTTCTGGCAAGTTTCTATACGAAGTATGATCCAACTCACTTCATCCTAAACACAGTTTCTCTCCTGAGTGTGCTAATTCCCAAAATGCCACAACTACATGGTGTTCGGATCTTTGGAATTAATAAGTATTGAAATGTTTTGAAACTGAACAAAATTTTTTTACAGTTACTGAGTTCCTACAAGGAAGGAGTGGTTAGTAAACTGCACTGTTTCTATGATAATGTGAAATAAGAGGAATTTACATTGGAGGGCCAATTGGGTTCTTCACATGTTGTTTTGAAGTGCAGATTTCTATTAAAAGATGTGCCTCTACTTAATGCATCTGGCATATGTCTGAAGAGAGGCTTTATAAGCAGGCTGGGCAGGCCCAGCTTATAAGCAGTGACAACACAGTAAGGGTGTAGTAGATAAATCCACGGAAATAAGAGATTTGTAAGAAACTGGGACCAGCTTAACGTCAATAAATGGGCATTATGTTAGGAAAAGAAAATTTCCAATCATTCAGTCATAGTCACTTTAAGTAGACTTACATGTAAACCAGAATCATCTCTTTACAAGTTTATTAAAGATTGTTTTTATTACTATACGTATTCCTTTTATTTTATGTAAGAGGATATACCCTCTCATTTTAGGCAAGCCAGTTCCTACTTACGAGTATACTTTTTTGGTTTTGCTGGCTCAGTATTGTGTGTTGATAGATAAGGTCATTTTTATATTTATTACATTACAGAGTTCATGAAGATTTACCTTCATGACTGATTGGTGATAGAAGATAGCCAGGTATCACATGAGTAGCCCCTGAGTCAGTGTTTTAATTTTGGAACAAAGTGGGTTTTACTGCTTTTCCAGACACAAGACTGCTAAACCAATTAAGAATATAATTTATTTCAAGCAGCTGAAATATATGGTAATTTAAAGTGTCTGCTTATTTGGTTGAGGAATTTAATAGGTAAAGTCTGTCTTCTTGAGAAAGGAAATATAAAAATGGACATCTATATAGCCAACTTGTGGTCTGATAGAACTGCTTCTCTAGGCCATAGTACCAAAGTAAGTAAGTTTTTTTTAGCATGTCTGCAGTAAAAAGTAAATTTTCTTTATTCTTAGTCTGCCTGCTCTCAACCCCCATATTTGCCCATTATCATCATTTTCCCTTTAAATCCATGGGTCTTAAGATCATTCAAAATGGTAACTATTTCCAGAGCACCAACCATATGGAATTCTTGTGACTTATGAAAGCTTCCTCTAGTTGGCTTACGTTAATTAAAAGACACAACTACATACTACTTTGAGAAGTAAACATATGAAAAAAACAAAGTTCTGATATGAGATAAAATTTTAAAATTCAGTAACATTTATAAACAAAATTGAGAGAAAACAAGTTACAGACCAACTTAAAAATCAGTTTGTGTCAATAAACTGCCTTTTGGGGGTAATGATCATTGTTTTGTATTTCAAAAGTATTGAGTTTAGAAATCAGTTGTATGATACAGCCTTTGTGTGTTTGTCTTTTCTCATGTATTTTTAAATAACCAGTAATCGATACTTAATAAAATTTGTCCTTGGTGTAAGATTATTTCAGAAGCACTCCAAATTCAGTCATCAAAACTGCATTGACATTTTTCAAGTTTATTCTGAAGCAACTGAATTTGGTAACAAAATGTAACAAAAAAAATTGCTGTGTTCTTCGTTTTAACGTTTAATTATCTCAGAAGGCTTACATTCTTTGTACATACCTCAGAGATAAAAAGGCTTTCTTCCCCATTTTGCCATCTCTCTCCTTTCAGTGTTTAAAAAATATTTAGATATTTGAGGGCAGCTCTGTTATAGGTATTATTTTAGGTATATCCAAACAGGACAAACAACTCACTCCCCTTTGGTGTTCACATTCTATTTGGAGGACAAATTAATAAATGAGTAAACAGGTACATGCTATGCAGCAGTAAATGCAATGGAAAAAAATTAAGCCGGTAATAGGAGGCAGGGGACCCTGAGGAAGGCCTTCCCTCAGATCCTGGCTGAGGTGACATTTAAGCATAGACCTTGCTAAAGTGAAGGAGCAAGCAGTAAAAGATCTGGGTAAGAGCATTCCCAGAAGAAGTAATACTAAGGCTTTGGGGCAGGAATGAGGCAAGTTTAAGAAAGAAAAAGACAGCCACAGGCTAGAAAGGAGTAAGCAAGGAGGAGAATGATAGCAAATGAGGTCTGATAAGCATAGAGCCCAAAACAGATTTATACATCGGGGTTAACAAGCAGATTTTATTCTAAGTGTGTCAAAACCATTGGAGAATTTTATATAGGAGATTAAAGGGACCTAATTTTTTTTTTTTT